GTGCTTGCCCAGCCTCTCTCCCTGGCTACAGTGTCTGTGAGCAAGCTGCCAGCCGGGCTCCTGCCCGCGCTCCTGAAGGACTGGCGATTCTCATGGAGCAGCGACGGACCCACAGGGAAAATGTAATATTCTATCACCCTTGCATCGGCGCCCGAAAGAGCAAATATTGACGTCTGCCTCTCTGTTTCTCTTCCGCGGTGTAACTCCCTGACACACCCGCGGCCTTTGTTAGCGCTGGGACGAGCGCGGAGAGGCATGTGTGCGCCCAGCAGACAGAGCCGAGCGAAATGAAATCTCTCCGCGCCTCTCTTTCTCTCCGCGCCCTCTGCCTGCTAGCGGGAGGGCTGTGGGAAGAGGCAGCCCTTTCCAGCAAACGCAAATAACTGGGAAATAAAGAAGACAAGTCGAAAAAAGAAAGAGGCTGCAGGGAAAAGGTCACCGGCTTCTTTTCTGTATTTGTTCTTCAGGGTGGCGAGCTGGAGGGGGGCTGTAACTGTATCCAGTGATCATGGCGGAGGATAATTCTTCTGGAATTATCAAGATGTTTTCAGAGGCTTTAACCTCTTACACTACTCTGTTCCACACTATGCTGTAGCTGAGCTGTGGTACTGTCTAGTGTCTTGTGTCACACTAAACTCTACTGGACCACACTATGCTTGTCACGCCCGACATCCCTCCCTAGAGGGCGCTCCACTGCTCTCATTATTGTTCGTGTCATTTAGCTCTCCAGGTGTACCCTTTTAGTGTTATTATTTAAAGACCAGCTCCTCCAGTCCTCGGGGCTCATCATTAGGGAAAGATGTCGCGAGGCCCGCCTAGCACCAGGAAACCCTACGTCCGTCTCCTGAGGGCATAGGCCTCATCCCCGACACCTCCCGTTTCCTGAGCCCGGGGTCTGGAGGATCTCGCCCCGTCACCCTCGGACCTCCATGTTTCGTTTGTCCGTGTGCTCCCCCCTCCCGGGGATTTGAACTTTGTCGCGTTCCAGGATGGATTTCCAGTTGATGGACTTTCGGACCGTGCTTTGACCTGCCCTTGGACCCGTTTGGATTTGGATGCCGTTTTGTCTTCCCCGTACACTGTCTCACGGACTGTCAGTATTATTTTGTGCACTATTAAACCCCTGTGTGTTCCTTTTGACCACGCCTCCTGTTTTATCCAGCTCCTACCGCATCGCATAGGGTCTTCTACAAGATCTGACACGGATTTCAGTCCGTGTCCGTTACAATGCTATACCGCACTCTTCTTTACTATACTGTGCTGTATTACACTGTTATAGATTATACTGTACTGCACTATACTTTTCCGTATTACACTGTTATAAACTATACTGTACTGCACTATACTTTTCCGTACTACACTGTAGGATATTATGCTGTAGTGAGCTATACTGTAGTACACTTTTCATTGCCATACTGTAGTATATTGTAAAGCACTATACTGTACTACACTTCAGTATACTGTATTGCACTACACTTACCGTACTACACTCTACTGTAGAGAGCAGTAGTGTATTGTTAAGGAGAGTACTGTCAAGAACTTGCTGTGATAAAGGTTCCGTTAGATGAGGAAAGAGGTGTGGCTTGAGTACAGTTCCTAGTTCATTCAGGATCAGCTGACATCGACGATGCAGGTGGGCAGCGTGTTACTGACGCCCTCCTCCTACCTCACTCTGTGTAAAGAACTGCCTCCTGTCCTCAGTCTTATGTGCTGCTGCTCTTAGTTTTTCCCTGTCACCACAGGTCCTTGTTTCACTGGTTTTCCCATAACACAGGCCCCTGGGATCTGACTTTTTAATGCCATTTCCGGATTTCAGATCCCTGTGCCACATCCCACCTCAGTCTGCTCAGACCGACAGGCACACTGAAGTGATCTGGGTCTTGTAGCCTGCCTGGGACAGGCATGTCTTTTTCAGTGGGAATTAGTAAAACAATTGTCCGGGATATAATTCTGACTCTTGTGTACTTTCAATGTATGCATTATATAAAGCACATTCCCAATGTGTGCTCTGTAGAAACATGCTTCTCCCCCAAGGAATAGCTTCTGTATGTAGGAGGGAAATTCTGCAGGTCCTGGAACAAGCTGTCCAGCTGTGTTACTGAAGATGGATTCCCAGGAGCCCTCAGGAAATGTCTGGTTATGACTCTTGGAATCAATGAGCTACTAAGCAGCCAAAACGAGAGAAAGTCAGCTCCGAGAGCACTCCTCAGGCTGCAGTTCCTCTTCTTCGCCACAGGAATGCAGCACCGGAGGAGAGACTGCGCATCCCGCTCTGTGCTGGGATAAAAGGTGTTCTAGTTGGGAGCACAGGATGCTGTACTGGATTTCCCTGATTGTCTGCACTCAGCTCTGCACAGTGTCAGCTCCACACCTCCACTGTGTCACAGCGCTCTGTAAATAACTGCACAGAACCTCAAACTGCCATTGAACACTACTGAGAAACCAGAATATCAAAGATGATAATGTTCTGGATTAATTTCTCTGACAATGCGGCAATAGACACCTGAAGCACTTTGAGACTAACCACTCCCCCCTCATTCTCCACATTCCCTCTCTCCCTCGCTGTCTTCCTCTTTGACCATCTCTCTCTCTCACTCTCTCTCCTTCACTCTAATAGAAAATTAAGGGAGCCAAATAAGAGGAGGCCATTAAGCCAATCAAGCTAAACTGTTTACTGAATGGAGCCACGGTTTACAATATGGCTCGGTAGCTTGTTCCACACTCCCACCTCCCTTTGCATAAAGAGTGGGCTTCTTGCCACTCTCTCTCCCTCTCCCTGTCTTCCTCTTTCTATTTCACTCTCCTCCTCTGTCTCCCTCACTCTTTCACCTGGTTGTCTGTCTTTCACAGCACGGGCTGCAGGGGAACCCCCTGCATGCAAGCTGACAACAGCCAGACACCATTTCTGCAGCCCTTATTAAACCCTGGAGGTGATAAAAGAGAAGTATCCTTGCAGTAGCTCTGCAGGCTTAATGTGTTTTTGGTTTGTTCCATAATGGAGCTTTTTTATTGCTTTTTTAAAGAATGAATGTGCTGTAAATACATTTTATCTGACAATCTGTTAACGGACCAAAAAAGTGATTTATTGTCTGTCTCTGCCTATCTCTCTCCCCATCTCTGTCTGTCTAATGTACTGAACAGGTACATGCAGTGGGAGTTCTATCATATGCATAATATTTTCTCTATAGATTAAAAATCAAGGTGGATTTATCTATTCTTACTTTTAACTTATTTATCTTAGTTCTCTTTATCTTCAACTTGTATTTACTTTGATATTTATTTCTTTATATCAGTGACCCATCCATTTTTTACCCTGAGCACAAATTATTAAACACCAGCTTTCCTGTTTTGAACACCGAGGCTGGCGGGCCCAGCAGACAGGGGAGCGTCTCTAGAGACATCGCTGGGCTAGAGGCTGAGGTTGTTGCTGCCGTTAATATCGCTGCTGTTGTTTTCAGGGTTTTACTGCTGTTGATGCTGCGTTGTTGTGGCTCTTTACCTCTGCCGTTGCTGGGGTGGTACTGTTGCTGTCTGGGTTGCAGTGGTTGATGCTGTTGCTGTTGTCATTGTTGCTGGTGCTGTGTCAGTGTAGTCCACATGGACAGTGACAGTCTAAAGCCCCTGATTCTGCTCCGGTCTGTGGTGCCCTTGTCATTGTTGCTATACTGCAGGCGTTGCTGGTGCTGTGTCAGTGTAGTCCACTAGATTACTGGATTGTAGTGTAGTAACTGGATTACTGTCCTGGGTTCTTCTCCAGTTTTGGGGGCTGTTGGTGAGGCTGTTGCTCCCATGTTTCCTCTCTGTGCCTCCCTCTGGAGAGCTCACGGAATAACCTGTCTCTCTCCATATGCCTACATGCCTGGGTTTCACTCCACCCCTCCAGCACCAGCACTGGGGAGCCCACTCAGCTCCAGGGGGCTGCAGGAGAGATACAGAGGAAAAGAGGAAGAGGTAGGGGAGCACGTAAAAGAGAGAAGAGAGAAAAGAGAGTGAGATAGAGAGAAGGCAGAGCAAAGAACAAGAGAGGCGAGTGAGGGAACTGAATCAGCATTGCATTGCAATTAACGGTAATAAAATTAACATTTCATTATCGTTAGCACAGCAGGGATGAACATGACAGATGCAGACACGAATTAGACATACAGCTGGGTGCTAATTTATTCGAACAAAAGACCTGACTTTTACTGAGCGTGGTGTGCATGCACACACAACATTCAGTTAAGTCAGGAATAAAATAGGAATTGTTACTGTGCAAACTCACCTTACATGAGACACAGCTGGCATTCCTCTGAAGTGTGTGTTTGAGTTGTGGGGGGGGGCGCCATCGTGTCTGCTCCTTGATTAAGCAGCAGAATGGAGGCAGCAGGTAGCAAAAAAAACACACTTCTGAAGAGACTCCAGTACCGCAGTGTGGCGTTTCTGTCTCTCTGCTTCTGGCCACCTCTCTAGCGCCATCCAAAGGAATCCAATTCAGCAGCGCGGTGTACAGTGTAGTTCCAGACACCTGCCACCCTTTGTGAAAGGAAGGGCCTTAGTATACTTTTTTAACCTCTTATCTCGCGTTAGAGATTCGGTCCCTTCAGTTCACAGGCCCCTGCACGCAAGATTATTTTTAGTCCAGGACCTCCCAGAGAAGTGGTAGCTCAGGCAGCAGGGCGTCTGGCTCCTGACCGGAAGGCTGAGCTCAATCCCACGTGGAGGCAGGCGATGGAGCTTGCTCCAATTCCTTCCAGACGGCTCCCAGGTCCACTCACCCTGCTTTCCAAAGGAATGCTGGGGGTTAACCCTTCTGGGGGTAATAGGCTGGACCACATCACCTCCACCTCGAGTGTCAGATGGCTGAGAAAAATGGTGGCCTTTGCCCCCCAGTCCCCATGGGCCTTGATGGCCTGAACAAGGACCTACCAGCACTTCATGCATTGGGTCTTCCTTCTAATCATCATAGGACAGTAGGTATTTTATAGACATTTTGTCATTGTCACCACATTCCAGGTAAAATCAGAAAATCATTTTGACAGCTTCATTTTTACTTGCAGGGCTTTATCTGCTTCACTACCGCAGGTCAAAAGCTATAGACACTGGAGAATTTTAATCAAATACCGAACTAGTATGCACACAGTATTGATCTTGTTACTCACAGCTTCAGCTGCATGCCTTTCAATTTTAAATTGTGTTTTTCTTTTTACTTATGATCGCAGAGGGCAGCAAGAGACTGCGGGCAAACCAGATTTCCCGTGTAGTGTTTAGGGGGTGTTTTTGCCTGCTCCATCGTGGGCTGGGTGTCGTGCCACAGTGGCCATTACCTCTCAAATCCGACTCCCGGCTCCCATCTCTGCACTCCTTTTCCAACAGCGGCTGGCAGCATGATGTCATCAGCGGGGAATGTTCACGGGCTGGTTCGCCGGGGGCGATGAGGGCTCCTTGCCATGACAACTAGTCTGGTCGCCAGGGTAATATGAGCCCCCATCATCTTGACGATTGGCTGGCCGCTGGGGCGATGAAGCTCATCTCCGGGCTGTTGCAGGCCGGGCTGCGAGGGAGGTGATAAAGTAGGATTATCGCCCTCTGTTCCCTCTCTTTCTCTCTGCCTCAGTTTCTCTCCCCATCCTTCCCTCTCTGCGCCTTAATCTCTGTGTGTGTCTGCTCTCCCGCCTTCCTCTTCCTCTCCATTAGAGATCTCTTAATCAGTCAACAAGAAGAACGGATTTGCTAATGAATTAATATGACCAAATACCCAGCTGACTGATTAATCAGCTGAGGGACTGGTTGGTTGTGTGATTTTGCTGGAATTAGTCAAGGGAAGAGCAACCAGATACATTGTGGGCTTAGAGGAAAGTGCCCATACTGGCTCTCTAGTCTTGAACAGACAAGGCTTTGTGAAGACCCGATTCAGGAATTCAGAATCCTCTTGTCACTTGTGACTTGTCACTGTGGAGTTAACAGAGAAACACGAATTAGAGGACACAAGCAGAAACTACGTGGACGTGCATTTAAAACAGACGTTAGGAGACTTCCTTACCCGAAGGGCTGTTGTGTTGACGGAGTGTGGGACAAGCTACGAGCTGTACTGCTGAAGCCACTTCTCAGACCATTGGGCTACCACCAGACAGGCTGGGTGGGCAGAACAGCCTCCTATTGCTGGTGATCTTTCTTAGGATCTTGATTGATTTATAATCAATCGCAGGTTGATTGGCTGATTGAGTCCAGTTCTCCCCAAGCTCTGCCAAGGTCCAGCTTCAGGAAACGCCTAAGGGAGTCCTCCTCACGTCCAGGTGACACACACACAGGGTGGCGCAAGTTCCCATTTCTACTAGTGACTACTCTAACACCTGCTGAAATTCCATTCCACATGCGGAGAAACCAGACCTTCAGATGTGAAAGAAGTCACAATCCGTGTTTAGAATAGTCATTTGTGATGCGAGATCCTCGTCTCTCAGGGGTTACTGTCCCTGTAAAGACAGTTTCTCAGCTTCGTCCCTCACCACCATTGTAATGCCTGCACACAAACACTCACACACTCATCATTCACACAAATGTACTCTCGCACTCACACTCATTCACACAGATTTACTCTCCAACACACTCATTCATTCACACTCACACTCACACTCATGCACAGATTCACACGGCCACACAAGCATTTACACAAACTTACAACTCTCACTCACATGTGCTCACCCAGCCACCCTCACAGGCTAACACAGACCTGCACACACTCACAGACACACACACTCAAACCCACACACATGCACACACAGTCTAGATCACACACTGAGAAAGACACACTGCCACACAGACATTTACACACACTCATGCACACAAACCTACAACTCTCACTCACATGTGCTCACCCAGCCACACTCACAGACCAACACGGACCAGCACACACTCACAGACACACACACACTCAAACCCAGGCACGTGCACACACAGTCTAGATCACACACTGAGAAAGACACACAGCACAGTCTCCCACACACACACACGCCGAGACAGACTCACACTTCTATCCCGCTCAGGGAAGTTCGGCTGTGACCTCCCGGCAGGTTCTATCTCTCTTGGAGAATGACTCAATCACAGTGTCTGATTAGGAGCAGAAGGGGGGGACTGACAAATGCTGTCAGAGCCTCACAGGAAATTCAAGCAATATTCAGGCCTGATCACACAGCAAACAGCTGACATTCTTTTTCATATCAGAATCCCCAGTTTCTTTATTCCTTATACACCCCCCTCCCCAGTCTGCCTCTGACTCCTGAGAAGGAGGGAATACAGACAGGCTGCAGAAGCTCACCTCCTGATGCACTGCCTGGCCCATAGTGATGCACAGGAGCGTCAGCGCTGATTGGAGGAGAGGCGCGTCCCTCGCTGACATCACTGCAAGCCCGCGGGGGCCCAGGAAGTCTCAGGGTCGCCTGATCTCCTGGGAGCCGAGAGGAGTTGTGCGGTCGAATTTGACAAAACAATAGGACTGATCTCGAGAACACCACATTAAAAAAAATACCGCTGCCGACAGCAGTTCAGAGGAGAACGACTACAGAACGTGCATTCCAAGGCCTGAAGAAAACAGGTCACAATTACTCCATCTCTCCCGTCCTGAGCTGAGGGGCTGGCAGGAGGACTTGATCAAAATAGTCAAAATCCTTTAACGTTACTGACTTTAAGTCAACCCCGTTAACTTCATTTGGATCAAACACGAAGCATGGAGCTGAAGACACAGAGGAAACTAGGAGAGGAGAGCATTTAGAGTCTAGAACAGGAGGCACGTCTTTACACAAAGGGTGATGCCGCGTGGAGAGCCGAGGCTGATGCTCTCAGATACTTCAAGGAACACTTAGATGTGTCACTGCCTCCTCTGTTCAAGACTGAAGAGATCCAAACGCACTCAGCCCTCCAGGGAGTTAATACCTGCAATGTTCCCTGCAGACATTTTTGAATCTCGGCAGCAAACAGCCTCAATTATTCATGGCCCGCTTATAAAAGACGAGAGACCCAGCCCTCGCCAAGACTGGCTGCGTCTCGAGCAGAGCAGACGCACAGAGCTGACTCTTGAGGAAGATCACAGCCGGTTATATTTGGAAGTGTGCGTCTCCTTTCCTCCGCCGTCCCTGTGCTTTCTACCACTCCGAGCGCGAGTCGCGGCAGAGCAGGTGACCGGCGGAGGCTGCAGGAGGCTGTGATCGGCAACATGTGTTACTGCACAAGTACTGCAGGACATTAACACACAGGCAGGTCCTGAAACCGAGAGACGCAGACAGGTAGACCTGAATTATTCAATCACTTTGATCCATCTCAACACAGGCTTTCCATTCTGCTTTGCGTTATTCCATCAAGGTTAGCAAAGAAAAAGGCAGAGATCAGTGTGTTACAGCTGCACTGCACAGCAACAGCACCGTGACTACTGAAAGGGGCTATATGCTGTCTGAAGAAGAATGCAAACCAGACAGATGTGAATCATGGGTTATGTGAGTAGAAATGAGCTCTGGCTAGAAAGCAGCATGTGCCGACACACAGTGTGATAAACGTGCAGTAACAATCACGCAGTGTTTGAGTAATGCTAGCCCACGCTGCTGAGCCCAAGAAGGCAAATTCCTCACCTGTTTACTCTGACAGACGCAGCGTATGCACATTGTGCTGCTTTCTAGCACCACAAAATGGTCAAAGCACGTTAATACTCGTGTATCTCATGGCTCTGACCTCTTCTGCACGCTCTCAAAATAGTGTAACCCTGACAGGTGCTGCCTAGCACATTGACAGAGACAAATGAATCTATGGCAGTACAAATCCAGTCCAAAACCTAGAGAGGTTTAAAACTACCCTGGTTCAAAAGCAGGGGACACCCATCCCAGAATGCAATGGGGAACCGAGCGGGCGGCGGCATCTAGCCGACTCCCCTCCTGGTCCAGGTGAGCGTTGCCACGGGAAACCTGCAAGCACAGGTTACATCCCACAAATCAGAGCCTTCGCATCGCTGTCATGAATCAGATTCTAAGTTTCAGGGTCGATGAAGATAGAGCCTGCAAGACCCCGCCTATTGCCTCTTTCCTACTCCTCTTCCTCTTCTCCCTCTCTCACACTCTCTCCACCTCCACCTCTTTCTCTCTTCATCTATTCTTCCTCTTTTCCTTTCTCTCCTTTCCCCTTTTTTGCACTCACCCCTTCTCTCGCTTTCTCTCCTCTCCCTCTCCTCCTCTGCTCCTTTCCCCTGACCCCTGTGGCTCTCTGTCCTGGATAACACATCAATCACTCCCCACAGTTTCTCTCAGGGCAGGCTCCTGCATGCAGAGCACAAATGAGAAATCACACACACACACACACACACACACACACACACTCGCGAACACAGACACTTGCATTCAGATATACACACATACAGGCTCGCAGATAGGCAGGCAAATACACACACTGACACACGCAGGCCATACAGGGGTTAAAAAACACACACCGACACACACTGCAGACGCACAGAGAGACAAGCACACACACCACACTAACACACAGAGACATAAACACACACACACCACACTGACACACAGAGACACAAACACACACACCACACTGACACAGAGAGACATAAACACACACACCACACTGACACACAGAGACAAACACACATACAATGACACACACTGGCACACACACACCACACTGACACACTGGGACACAGGAACATGACAGACACTGAGACACAGAAGAGAACGGAAGAAAAGAGGGTGCCTGATGTGAGGAGGACAAATTGTTGCCCAGCTATTTCTTACAACAGGGTAAAAGCTTTAACACCTTGCCTGGGTGGCTTGTTCCATTCTCCCACAAGCCTTTGTGTAAAGTTGTGGCTCCTATTTCTCTGGGATGACTTCGTCAAAACCTGAATCAGGTCCCCTGCTTGTCCTCTCTGTTCAAGACCAAAGAGACTCAGTTCCTTTATCTTGTCAGTTTAAGGAAACCCTTTCAGTCCAGGAAGCTACCTAGTTGCTCTTTAGACTAACTCCAAAGGAGCAATATCTTTTATAACATTACGTGGTGGCCAGAACTATACTACACAGCAATATTCCAAGAGTTAAAGAGTTGCAGAAACCCACACATACCCACAAATATACAAACAGACAGCTACACCGCCCCGCACATGCCCGGCCACAGAAAGACACACACACTGACTCTCAAACGGCCAGGCACTGACACCCACCCCCCGGACAAACGCACACATCAGTGCAGCTTAATAAACAATATTTATCACCCTTTATAAATCAGACCCCACCGCACACACACACAGGGGTCCAATCTCAGGACTCACAGCTGTTTCTACAGTGGCCTTGGCGGGTATTTGCACACTGAGGCGAGGGCAGCAGGGAAAGGGCACGCTCCCACATGGACATTCACAGTGCCATTCCCAGGCCTCCGGACCAGAGCCAAGACCAAGGAGGGAGGAGAGGAGGAGAGAGAGAGGAGAGAAGGGGAGAAGGAGAAAGGAGAGAAGGAGAATGGGAAAGATGGAGAGAGAGGGAGAGAAGAGAAGAGTTGAGGGGGAGATGGAGA